TCACTCTTTGCGGGGACATCGGGACCCACTTGGCCAACTCGCCCTGAACAAGCACCTGCTTCCTGTAATGATAAACCCACATCAGATATTTGGGGTGCGAATGTATCTAACAAATATGTTACTACGATCATGCTGTTATTATTGTGATAAGAAATAGCCTTAGCTCTTAAAGTTGTGAAAGAAAGAAAGAACGCCAAAGAAGGTTTCAACACATGTTCATAATGGCTTCTGGTTTGCTAATACAATCAATTTTGCCAATGATTATTTTCTTTGCTCCTTACCCTGCATGACATTAAGGTATAATTGTTGACATACTTTTAGAGTCACAATATTCTGTACAACACGTCCAGTTCTGATGTGGGAAAGGTATTAACAAGTAGCTGTATCAAGCGTCAGGATTTGCCACCGAATTACATCAATGTATGTTATACTGTGTCTTTATATGGTCACAGTAACGGAACTTGATCGAGGCTCTTTGTCCCAAATTAAATATGGCTTGAGACACACACTGAATCTACTAATAGCATCTACATGCATGGAACACATGTTTCTCTCAGTTGTCCTTTACTTCCGGGCAAAAGAACGTAAACACCATAGTTTCATGGTGGCTAAAACTGAAACAAACAACAAATGGTTACATCATCGTTGTGTTTTGAACCTTACCTTTGCAGTCTTTCGGCGACTGTTTTCAAGACAAGTACTACTGTTGAAACTTTTTTTGATAACGTTTGAGGTTGTGGGGTGTATTCTAATTTCAAGTGTATGCTTTCTTTTGCCAGGCAGATTCAAAGATATTTACGCCAAGAGTGTAATATGCAATGCCAACAATGTAGGGGATAGTGGGTATCATCAAGACTTATCTTCTGATCTATATGGTATTGGCAAATGTAAATGATATGATCATATCTGCTGGGGTGTAGGAGATAAGATCTAATGGCTACTAAAGGTTGGTTTGATGTGAAGAGGTAGTAGGTCAAATTCGAAGCATCTTGAAAGGAGAAACTTTGGTCATCACGTTGTACAAATGGTCAATTTTCATGTGTATACTTTCTTTTGCTCGGCAGTTTATTAGCGACATGAATATATACATATGCAACACTTCTGCATATTTAATATACATACCCTTGAACCTTAAGGACAGGCGAGACATAGAACAGACAGAAGTCCACGGTGCTGCAGCCACTCATGGTAATGGGGTCAGCGTCTGTCAGAGGCTGGATCTTGCTGGGGTTGTTGTAAGGGAAGATCATGGAAGTTTTGAACTGAAACAGCAACCAGATATTTACACATGAAGATCAACGATGCTCCCTGCCCCTACTTCAGCATAGGCCTTGTGCTGAAAGTGTGGACGAATGTAGAATATAAGTAAGAAGGCAAACTAGTTGTTTGGATGACTGTGCTAATATGGCATGTGACGTATCAACTCATTACCTTTGAATGTCAATAACGTTCTAACTGGCTTCATCTGAATGTTCTCCCGCCAGTCATTCACCTGACGAAAGGGCAAGATCTAGCCGTATAACGTTGTGTATGTATACTACTCAAAAGAAGTTAAGAAGACTTGTTTCAAGTGTGGGTGTTCTTTAACTTTTTTGAGTTGTATATGACAAGGAAGTTGTTGTACACAATACTCCTTGTCATGAGTACATGCAACTTCTAAATGTAAACTGAACAGAACACTGACAGAACACTTACTCCTTGGAAGCCAGCCATGCCCGGCGTCATCGTGTAATTACCAGTCAACTCCGCAGCAAGGATGATACCAAACTTGTTCTTCCCTCCGAAATATGAATATGTTGACCACACCTCTCCGTCTGGTCCCTCAAAGTCTCCCCAGGCCATCTGTCAGGCAAGATCAGGTTTCTTACACATCTTTCAAAAGTGGAGAGTTTGTTCGATATTATTTTCTCCAAAAAAGTTACTAAACCCTTTCCAAATCTCTGCATGTGTGAACTTACTCTTCGAATTGTATTGTCTATGGCAGTTGCAGGGCGGGATGGTTTCAAAATAAGTCCGTCCGCATTTACAGATCTGTAAACACATGTAGAAGACATGGATTAAGTTGCTGGGAGTGAATTACTCAACAGCTGTTATTGTAATTGATAATGATATTAGTTCTCACTGTTTTACAATCTTGGGTCCCTGGTCCAGATTCTGTGTGACGGTGGAATATTGTTGACTGCGGCAACATTCGCAATGACTGTTACTCACTATTGCAGATGCACAGACTCCAACACGCACCGTGATATGAAACACTAAATAATTATTGCGTTAACCAAACTGAGGTGAGGTGAAATAGGACTTAACGTCGCGATCAAGAATATTGCACTAATAGAGCGTCGTGTACGTATGTGTGGGGGGTTTAGTGTGTGTGGGTGTGTGTGTGTCTACATGAAAGTGACCTTCATCACTTAAGGCTTTCCTCCAACATACAGCTGACACGCCGTGATATGACGGAAATACTGTTGAAAGCGGCATTACAACTAATTCACTCCTTACTTAGTTTAAATACATCCTCGTGTTATTGTGGATGGATGTTGGCACCTTAAGAAGGGTGTAGGGTTATAATGTCTGCACATTTACATTTAACTGTCTGTAGACAATTAGTTATCCCCCGCCGCGCGAAAGCGCGAAGCGGGGGATATAGTATTCACGACCGTCCGTACGTCCGTCCGTACGTCCGTCCGTCCGTACGTCCGTCCGTACGTCCCACCTGTTTGTTGCCGCGATATCTCAAGAACTAAACACTGGATTGTCTTCATGTTTGGAACTATGGTGTATATACAGACACCGCAGACACCAGTCGGTTTTGGTGACCTTGACCCCATTTTCAAGGTCACAGCAGGCAAATCTGCTTTTGGAGTTGGAAAACGGTGTTGCCGCGATATCTCAAGAAGTAATCGCTGGATTGTCTTCATATTTGGAACTATGGTGTATATACAGACACCGCAGACACCAGTCGGTTTTGGTGACCTTGACCCCATTTTCAAGGTCACAGCAGGTAAATCTGCTTATGGAGTTAGAAAACGGTGTTGCCGCGATATCTCAAGAAGTAATCGCTGGATTGTCTTCATATTTGGTACTATGGTGTATATACAGGCGGGGGACATTTCGTCACTTCTGTGACAAATACTTGTTGAAACTGAGGTAAATTATACATATACTTCATGATCAAAGACTTGTTCGAGCCGCCGATCATATCACTTATCCCAACAGGTCCAGTGCTCAGAGTAGAGACAACTGCTAGTAGCGCTGTATTGGGCTCTGACGCGTCTGAAACGAAACAAAGCACTTGAGCTGTAAAATTAGCCAAAGTGTGTTTGTTGAACTGATTTCAGATTTGAAAAATTAAGACAGCTTAAATATAACCAAATCTTACTTATAAATCTGAAATATAAACAAAATGAAATGCATATATATATTTGGCATAGAAACACCAACTAAAGAGAACAGAATCTTGTCAGTATTATTATTGTTATTTCTGTAAAACTAGCAAACATCCTACAATGTAGTTCATGGAAATGTACCACGATTATATGTACTCCTACATACTGTATACAGAGTATCGTTCTTTTGTAGCTTTGTGAATAGCTTGAAGCTATTTCAGGGAAGAGGTAATTATTATCCTGATTGCAAATGCACTTAAAATTATTGTCCACAACCTTTTGTCCGAAATTGTCTGGTGGTCATTTGTGACACTAGGCAATTATTCTGTAAATGTACCGCGGTAGGTCGCACATGCAATGTGGCAGTACGGCAGAGTGCAACCCTACTCGTACGGAACTGTATTGCAGTAAAGAGTTAAGCAGTCGCAATCAGTCGTAAGCAGTGGATGTAGATGGTTTGAAAGTGTCCCCTTACTGTATCTATTGCCAGGTTGAACTGATGTTGTCCAGAAATTGTCCTTAAACGGAGCTAAACCAATGGCCCAAGCCAAGAGTGATGACACGCCGATCTTCCAGTGGTCGTTGCCTGGATGGTAGTCTCCACTTACCCTTGCCTGCGATGCATAACTCTTTCATCAAATACCTGCTATAAAGAGCTAAATTATTGTGAGCAGTAGTGTATTAAGACACAAAATCTGCTAACAAGTGAGTTAGAATTACCGTCGCATCATATAAATGTACTTCTGGATGGCATTCAGACAACATAGGTGTACCGCTCTGACTTTCAACACCCTTTTGACTATTAAATTTCAATAAATATAAACTTAAAGAAAAGATCAAGTTGTAAGTCACCAAGAGAAGATGAGGTAATGGTTTCTATCTGCTCAGATTGGTTCAGTCAAAGCAAGGTAAGTTTAACTTCAGTTTCATGATCAGGTAAATCGATGATCGGACGCAGTTCAATAACAATCAAATAGCTAATTCCCTTCCACTGATTTACAACTGAGACCCCCTTATCTGTTTCATATTAGATCTATGCAAAAATATTCTGTATGACAAAACATTCTCCTCAACACTGTATGACAAGAGGGATGACTTCAAATTTCCAGAAGCCAACTTTCCCTTCATGCCGTGCAATGTTCCTGGAGCTCCAGCCCTTGGTGTTTACATTTCAACTTTTGAGGTACAATCGAGCACCCTCTTATTACCAAGATTTCAAAGAGCGCAATACGACTCTTGCTTAGAAAGTATATGATCACCCATACCACAGTCAAGGACTTGGAAAAACTTGCAAAAAGTTTTATGGTAGACATGTCGATGAAATTTCCAAATTTGATGCATCAGTAACAAAATGATGCCCCATTTGCTAACTCACTCAGTAAACTCACAAAACAGTAAAGACTTATTGTATAAAGATAGAATTGATCATGGTCTTATGTCAGACAGCAGGCCTTCTATACACATTTAGGCAAACGTTTTATGTATAATATCTGTTTCAAAAATAATTTTAACAAAAATATGCAGTATCTTGTGCTCCAGAAAAAAAAGTTCTTATCATACCTTGTACGTTTCTTGTCACTATCTTTTCATCAACTGACATTTGTGCACACCCACCTGTGTTACTACGGGTATTTCCAGCGACTGAAGGGCGTGGCGGGGGTAGGCCATACAGTACTGGATTGTCAAGCCATTCTTTGCTGCTCCATTACCCATCTCCTTCAACCACTGCTTGGCTAGATGCACGTCAGTGTGAAGCTGGGTTACTATGTCAAACTGCTGGTCTAGGTAGTCCTTAAACAGAACAACGTGTTGAAGTGAAGTCATCTTGTATACATCTTTAAATAGTAACGCATTGATGCAGGTTGACTATAAAAAACTGTGACTTATGAATCACTTAAATGAATATTAGAGTCAACATTTATTTGGTAAACTTAGGATAAGCTTTTTGAACTGTATGTTACTGCACAAAGTCTTTCTACACAGTATTGATATCCGTGAATCTTTTTCAACTTAGGTGTTCTCAGACAAACGTGAAATAATTGTACAAAAGGAAATTTGTACCTGTTCATAGATAAACAGCCCCCACTGTCGTGCAGAAGACATAAGATCTGTCCAGAATCGCTGTAAACAACGTGATCGGTTGTTCATAACACGATAATATAGCAATAATATATAGTTTGCTTGATTAAATCATATTTGCTTCAAAAGCGCTTGTACCAAATCCCTGTGTTGATTCAGGGAATTGAATATCTCCCTAGCAAGCTATGATGGTCATATGGGACTTAATGGATCGGGTGGTCAGGCCCATTGGCTTGGTTAATAACCTGTCATTGTAACCCGACAATATCAATGACTGGTTTGTCTGGCTCATATTCGATGATTTAACCAGATATTTCTGGGGGCAGCATTGAACAACAAAGAAACAAGACATATGCTTACCTCTTCTGTTGGTATTGCATTTTTTCCATCAATAATGAAATTGTAGTTTCCTCCATTCTGCTTGGCATATGTATTATTGGATGACCTGAGAAAGGAAGTTATAAGATTCAAAACTCCAGCTTCCTAAATAGTGGGAGGGCAAGGTTTGCCCCATCGCCGTATTAAGGTACCGAACAGATTTACTCTGATTACATTTCTTGGTTTGCTGGCGCCAGAGCCCTGCTTATTGATTTCAGCGTGGTAACAGTATAAGACCTGCATCCCTTTGAGCTTTCTTCCAACATTAAAGCTGTTTTTGAAGTCTTTTGATTGTAGTTTCTTCACATCATTCGTTATTTTGATCACAGATTTACTAATTATGCTCGTGGGATTATAGGGATGAAGTTTTGGTGCCATTATCCCATGAATGTCACAACAGCCTGGTTGCCATCATACAGCTATATAAGTCCTGAGTGCTGTTCTGATTAATTTAAATAATCGAAAACAGATCAGTAGGTCCAAAAGACCGCTCGAACACATTTTTCCATAGTCAAACACAAACGAGTTCGGACCCTCTCTCAATCCTAACATACCTTTTTGCGTACCTTCTAACGTCAATAACAGTGTTAGAACCAACACTGAAACTTCGCTCCTAATTGTAACACAGAAGTTGTTCATCCACATATATTATCCTTACTTTTGCTATTTATGCCTTTTCACTGCTGCTATTGTAAGTTGCGGTCATATAGCTAGATTATGCCTGACTCAGTTGTGTTCTGAGAAATATAAGTAATATGATTAATCAAAAGGTCCAAATAACCGATCGAATGCAATTTTCCATAATCGACCACCAACGATGGTGAGGTACTTTGTTTTCTAAGAAACTTCACTGTGAATGTTAAAAAGTATCAGGCAACACTTTTTTATTAAAAATAAAGTCCTGAAATAAGTATTTGTGTTTGTTGTTGTTAGGTGCCATCTAGTTGTTCTGCACGTAACAGGTTATTTCTTCATATCCATGAACTATCGGTTGGGATGATCCATCGTCGACGATGATTTTAGAACTATTCTCAACACTATTGACTATTGCGTAAAACAACTTTCAGTCATTCACAAGTCGTGCTTTGAAGTTGAAGCAAACGTATGCAGGTAAGTTGAAACTTTATACAATATAAATCTTCATGGCTTTACTCAAGTCTTTGAAACTATCACCTCACTTGCAAATCAACGTCGTTTCTCTTTTATGTAAATGTACTAGTATCTTTAGCTTACAAATATTTTGATGTGACTGAAAATCTTACCAACAATGGCTGTAACCCAGAGCAGGAAGGTTTGTCTTGTTGTATAACCACCTACATATCAAACCAAAAACAACATATGTATATAACGGGCATTGTTACAAGCACTTTGTTCAATTCATCACATGCATGGTTTGATTTAAGACAACACTAAATGTATGCATTAACCTCAACTGTGGGTGATTTTAGAGATGTTCATAACATACGTATATACATATACCACGCTTGCATGGTCTAGTGGATAGAGCATTTGCCCGGAGAACGGAAGATAGGTGGATCGATCTCCGTCCACGTCATACCAAAAGGGGTTGAAAGATGGTACTTGTATGTACAAAGACTGGTCGGCTCAGAATCAGTATACTGTGCCTGAGTTGGGTAATCATGTTAAACCGTGGCATGGTATCTCAGTGGGCTAGCACTATAAACTCGGTATTAGTCTGGACTAGTACAAGCAGCCACGCCCACGCGCGCAATGATCTTGAACGCGACTTTAAACCCCATTTCACCTCATCCTCTGACACATTCCTTTCATGTCACGTTTTCTTATACAATCCTGTCATGCATCCCCGAGAAAGGGAGCCATTTGAGAAGCACGATTACACGCTTCCTTCACATACTCCATTCCGTTTGGAACCACGTCAGTCATGGCCGTCCACTGCACGATGCCACCATGGGAATCTTTATAGTACCACTCTTGGTCATACGCGAAAAATCTGGAAAAGAAAGAATGAAAACTTGTTTATTTTCTCAGATGGTTTAAGGTATCCATCAAATATGGTGTTTACTATTTTCGGTTGGTATTTGTGGATGTATCAGGTTTTTTTGGTTTGAACTTCCAGGTTTTGCTAGTTTGGGAATAGTAGTGTGTGCTCTTTATAATATCAAAGGCATTTCTTAATCTACTAAACGATTCTATTAATTTCGATCCCATAGATACAGATATAAATATTACCTTATTTTATAAAAAAAATAAATCTCACAAAAATCATGGCAGGATTTATGGACATACCTGACAGGAAGACCAATCTGTTGGATGTAACTGACAATATCCACGACAGTGTCCTGGTAATTTTTGCCTTCCTCTAGGTTCTTGTAGTAATATGCACCTGTCAAGGGAAATTGAGTAAATACATGATTGCGTTATACATGATATCAGAAATGTTACAGGTATGTACACTGAAAGTAGGTGTATTTTCAAACTTGGGAGCAATTGGAAATGAGTCCTAATTCCAAAATTGATTTTGGATCACAAGTACAATTCTCTATTCGTCTGGAAATCCATATGTATAAACTATACAAAAAAAGTAGGGGATTCACGGAACTAACTTCAGTTAGTGTCTAGTAATAGTTGTATGATAATAAAGAACGAATGGGACATATTACTACCAGTAGCGAAGTATGACATTAAAAGTTAGGATTGCCAACGATTTTGATCTAGGGGTAAGATGCGAAATTTCGTTTTGAGATCAGTAGTGCATAATACCGCAATGATTTGTCAGCCATTCATTCATTCGATGAGGCATACAGTGTATAATTCTCCCCATGGCGATTTGAGGGAGTCTGTCCTCATTCCTCTTGCAACGCCTGGCCAAGTTCAGCCGACGTGTTCAATGGGGAAAGCTCTGGGCTCATCGCTAGCCATGGCATTCTATGGATGTTATGCTTCTTGAAGCGCGCATTAACGATTCGAGGACAGTGAGCACGAGCGTTGTCATCCTGAAAGACGGAACGTTGAGCCACGCGCCTTGCAAACGGGACAACAAAGGGTGTCAGTATGTAGTCCCGATAGTACTGTCAAGTGACCCTTCCGTGCACCATATGGACTGGGGTTTGCTGTCATAGTGATGCCACCGCTTGTCATAAGCAATCCGCAAAATCTTGTCTCATTAAATGAAGTCACAGGCTCATATTGGCTTCATCTTCATTTCGATGTCGTCAGACACGAACACGCCTATCAAGGAAGTGCAAAGAGAGTCATGACATGTGACCAGCGACGACGTTGTACACACCATTAACATCTGTTGGCAATATGATGATTTGTAAGGTATGGCACAACACGTGGCAATAAGCTGATCCGTAACTCTTTTGCAGCCATTTGATTCCCGTTTGAGAAGCATTTCGTAGAGCCTGCTTTCAGATCACTCGATCCTGTAATCTTGTAGTTGATTTGGGACGCCCTGAACGGGGTCGATCGCCAACGTTTTAGATCTGTTGGTACCTGTTCCATAGTCTGCTAATCACAGACTGTGAAACATTATTGGTCACTGCATGCTGTGTTCTGCCAGATCCAACATGCCTGTAGACACTCCGCATCATTCCTGCATTAAGACTTATCTTTGTTCTAATACTTCCAGTTAACAATTATAACTAATTATTCCCTGCTGTGTTAATGATATATTTTCATGTTTTGAATATCTGGAGTAACCACTAATGTAAAAACATCCGTGAAGATGATGCTATAAAACAATTAATCTGTAGGATAGTACAGGGCACAGGGCACATATACCGTCAAGTAGGAAATGGTACGATAAGCATAGCTATTTTTGATTAAATATTTCAAATGCCACTACAGAGTTGTAGATGAACATCTAGTTACCATTGTCAATCCAGTAACCAAGATAGTTGACTGTCAAATCAGATTTGACAAATTCGTCCTTGTGCCCATACCACGTCTGAAGTATTTCTCCCCAACTGACAAAGGCCTGAATTAAAGAAATATATATAGTCATTTACGATAACAAAGAATTCCTTGATTAAGTGTTGCCATCCAGAGTTTTCGGCTTTATTCCATTTGATTTAGTCCCCCTCTGTGTTTAATGTTTAAGGTTATATTTAAGAAATGATAGGTACATGATACTTACTTTGTTGATTCCTTGGTTACCACAGTACATAATGTAACTTGTCTCAAAATCTCTTGGCACAGTGTTGACACCTCCCATGACACCCCAGAATAAGTTGTTAATGCCCTTTCCGTTGTTCTGGTGATATATTGATGACGACATGAACTCACTTGCTGGAGTTATTATCAATGTGTTCGCCGTCTCAGCTCTGTCAAACAAGGCTAGTGGACCACTTCCATGACCAAATTCAACATCAAAGGTGTGTGGGCCCCATCTGAAATTTACTCACAAATTGATCATTTTATTAAGTATGAATGTTATTCCGAATGAGAGTCATATCCTGTTATGGTACTTCAAAATGTTGTTGTTTTTTGTTCTTGTGTATATAATTATATTCAGCAATATGTCAGATATCTGGATCAGACAATCAAGTGACAAAAAGCACAGCTTAAAATGTTGTGTTAATACAAAAATGGGCCTCCATAAAGTTGGAAAAAAATTCAGACTCAATAAAAAGTCTCGATAAAAAGGCCATCCTCATCAATACGGAGGTTTTCGTGAGACATGACCATGATTATCATTTCAAATCTTCGATTTCAAGAGGCCATAACAGTTGTTGATGAAAAGTTTATGGTGTCATCTACATATATTAGTTACATTAGTTCCCCCCAAATTCTATCTCCTTTGTCTGTTCAATGTTTACAGCAAACACTCATCGTATCCCCCCTAATCATATGCCCCCTCTGGGCAGGACCCCTAATCCCCAGCGCTATCAATAAATGTTAATTAACACCTCCATATGGGCTTATGTATGTACAAGTACTTGGGTCACTGCACCACATCAACAAGCAGTGTAAAATGCAACGTACATTCCTCCAGTAGATGTGAGTATAATCATGTCAATTTGAAGAAAACATAACACTTGGTTTTGCTAAACATGGTCTTCTATTATATAAAAATGTTTTATACTGCTATTTTCAGTGTTCTGTTTTAAAATCAATTACATCTGTACAGTTATTATGCTTTAGTGAACGGTGAGAACATTTTTGCATTCTTTCTATAGGTTGAATTTTAAATGTGTCATAAAAAGAAAAATCCCAGCTCTCTTTAAAGAAAAAAACCCATCTCAGCCCCTAAAAATGAAAAAAAATATAACATAACTCTACCCTCAAAAAACGGGACGACCCTACCCCCACCCAACCCCCCTCCCTAAATATCAAATGGTCTGCCCCTTATTTGTTATTTTATTTCATGTTTCATTCTACATACAACTAACTACACTAACGACTTTTGAACTCATTACTCATGTACTACACTCGTGTTCATTAGATACCAGTTATATTACAATGCGCATATTTAACACGTGATTGATCGATACAGTTTGATATGCACTGCTTGTAATACACATGCTCGCAGTAATCTCTACTCAAGTACGATAAAGATCAATTATTATACATAGGGTGCGGTTTAACTTACTGGTTAGCTGCTAGGCTGAGGGTACCAAATTGACTTCCGGCATAATAGAGGTAACCCAAGGGAATATCAATGTCTTCTAATGCAATTGCTGGAAAGCCAGACACCGTCTCAGAGACTGTGGAAGCCGCTGTGTTGTTTGAGCCGGTGATGAATTTCTACAACATCGCAATTACTGAATATTGCATGAGATGTGGCATAGCATTGATGAAGCTTAAACCTGTCTGAACTAATAACCTCCAGAATATAACTCCGATGTCAATATAAACTGTCTCGTACTTGTGCTTGAGTACCCATATCCTTTCATGGTTTCATAGAGGCAGTCAAATATTTGTCAGAATTCGACCGCCTCTGCAACACATAGATTTTGCAACCAAGTTACGGTTGGACATGACATATATTTCTGGTGGTAAAGGTCTGCAACATGTGGGAGTAGGGCTGTTTCTGTCTTTGTATATAACGCAAACACCTTTCTGGTCTGTTACTAATGTGACCTCATAGATCAAACATGAACTGATAATATTTGCGCTGCATGAAAACAGAAATCAAAGCAGCCCAAACACTGTATGACCTATTTTCCCTCCAGGAACATGGATCACGATTGAGACTATATCTGTCTATCTCATTTCAAGAATGTGTATCTATATTCAACACTGATTCCTTCTAGGATAACCTTAATTTTGGACAACGCATGCCCCATGCAGTGGAATTTTACAATGTGCCACTAGTTACTTTACTTTACTAATACCATTGTCTGCTCTGGAACGTCTTCACATCTGTGCTATTACAGCAAGCGAAGTAGGTGATACAAATGAAGTGTATTTTTTATTATGAATATGAGCTGAATACTACTGTTACCGACCTTCCACGTTACTCTTGATAACACCCCAGGGAACATGTATGTCAAATTTGGCCACTTTATATTTAAAATACTTTTGAATTTTGGATAGAAATAGTTATGATGACGTTTCCAGTAGAAAATCTAGTTGCAAATATAAATTTTTTTCAATTTGATATGTTGACCTTAAATGATCCAGAATTTCCAGTGACTATCTAAACACTGATGTGACGAACCCGCACAAGAAAGTATTGTTTTGTCCATTTTAAGTCATAAATAATTAAGATTTCTATAATCAAACCTTTTACACCTTAATTTTACTTTCAATGCCACCCAGTCATTTGTGAGGAAATGTATATCATCAAGGAACCCCTACTTTTTTTAAGTGAGTTGAGAAATCTTGCAATGATGACAGCAATCAGTTTTGATAATTTCTTTAACCTAAGACGACCTTGCGAGGTAGCATACTGGCAGAACCTATTCTCCAATTAAAGGCTCATCCAATGCACATGTGCGTGAAGAAGTGAATGAAGAAATAAATAGTCTCGATATAATGTTGTGTCATACCTGTTTGAACACAACGAACGGTAAGACTGGATCATTGTAGTTTAATATGCTTGGATCTGGTGTGTACTGTACAATGCTGGCCTCGACCCGACTAGATCCTGCCTGGTACAGGAAGCTGTTGGCCTCCCAATGCCCTATGACGTCCACACCACTGGACTGACTGTGCTTGATCAGCATCAGCGATCCATCGGCAAAGGTGTACACATCACCATCAGCTCTGAAGAAATAGGGACCGCTCTCCAACCACACATCTCCCTGGACAACGACGTTGAATGAGCCGCTGCTGTTGTCCACGTTCACAGCAAAGTCCTGTGTTGCTGGAGAAGAAGTCATAATTCCTTGGGAAAATGAGTGAGTGAGAATGGTTTTATCCCTTTTATCTATAACTCCTTTTTAAACATTCACACTATATGTTACATTGTTAACGTTTGTGTTTAAATAAAAGCCTTGTATCGGAAACATATGTCATTTATACTGGTCCTGTCATATACAACCTTTGGTGTAAAATGCTGCTCAAAATAAGCATTCAAGGACGATTTATGTCATACGACGTCACATGAAAATACACACAATACGACCTGTGAGCATACTCATCCGTTGGTCTAGCAAATGAATTTCTGTTTTCCTTCATATGTGAAACAAACATGTACATATTTATAATACATTTAAACTTACCTGTACAGACATTTGTTGCTGTCAGGATAGCAACGATCAGCACCAGCGTCATCATTGTGGAGACTCTGAACAATGTGAAGACACGTTGAGTGATATTATGTAATACTTTGAACGATCTTACAGAAACATTGACTCATTATCTGACAAGGTTATATAGTATCACAACATGACCTTGTGTTATCACTTAATGCATCGATTCGATTTACCAGTGTGACCTAATGTGTACACGTGGGTACCAGCAGCAGAATAATATTGTTGATTACAACATGAATTTATGACATACAAAGACGTTTACTCAGCATCTGTAGTATTGCTATTATATTTAGATTAAGGGCGGTCGGGTAGCCAAGTGGTTAAAGCATTCACTCGTCATGCCGAAGACCCGGGTTCGATTTCCGACATGGGTACAATGTGCGAAGCCCATTTCTGTTGTTCCCCGCCGTGATATTGCTGGAAGCGATGTAAAACATCACACACACTCACTCACTATATCCAGATTAAAGAAAATAAATGCAGCAAAGAGGGTTTGGGTGATCCTGGCATAGTCATGCTGGTTAGGTTCATCATCAGCTAAGGATCCTTTCCCCCTCTACATGCAGCTCAGACAGCGAATAGGAAGCGCTGCCTGGACGAACACACCCACAACTTTTCGGAGAATGTGAACATTCTTAAAACATTTGGCATTACCCAGACTGTCAAAAGGGCTGTATTCCTCGCAGCAAACCAGGGCACTCCCCCAATGTCAGTCAACAGAATGGGAGGTACCAAACCTAAGGCACCAAGAACAATAGGAAGTCGGACAACTTGGTACTTTGGATGCAAGTGTGATATTTCGAAAGCCAGGTCCGCCTAATTGCCATGTTTTTCCTGACTCTTGTCAATCACATTAGTGCCAAGGAAACAGAGAATTTAATGACATAAATGATTTCATTGGATTTATAAAAAAGGACAGTATTAGGTTTGTTGGCCTTGGTAGGTCTGAGGCTGTATACGGGCTGATGAAAAATATTGTTGTAGTTATCTTTTACCATGAGCCCCTCTACATATTCTGGGTCGTACCATGGGTTAGATGAACCTCTGTGAAACTACAAGCATGACAAGATGGTAATAACATGATCGAGCCACTCCATTATGTCGCTTAAGGTACTGTGTTTGTGTCAAAGCTGGGTATTTTCTGACAATGTGTCTAATTAAATACTTTGCACAATCTACATTTCTCAATTACATTTCAATGCAAGCTCACACATTGACGATTTCGAGTGGGAAGTAACAGGTCCTGAACAGGCCAGTCGACTTCATCCAAGCTAAGGACTCTGTGGGGTTGCTGATATTCTCAACACACTGCATATTAACCTGATGTTTCAGTCATATCTCAGTGGGACAAGTGTGGAGTCAGTTACATTGCCCGAGGTTACAACACAGTGAGGTGCATGATGTGGTCTCTTGAAATGGAAGATTTGAAATGACTATTAATAAATACGTGTTTCAGACATGTTACTTGACATGCTCTTGTCTCGATGTTAAAGGCAGGCTTTGCTCATGAAATAAAAAATGAATTGATGAGAATGACTGTATTGCGGTCATTACTATTTATGGATGATGATAATCTTTTTCGAGCCGATGGAGGCTGACTTTTTTATTTACACAGAATTACCAGCTGTGTATTTGAAACGGTGTGTTTGTTATGTGTTATGGAAATACCCATGCATCATTAGCACTTACCTAGTACGTAGCTGTTGACTGAGTGAGAAGTATTGTTAGAAGAACGATGTGTCAAAAACAGTGTCATGTCGGGAATACATAGGTTATCATTCGCCAGAGCCTTGACAGATATAAACCTTCCAAGGGCAGATATTGACGATGATACATGTCTAGCGTTATCAAAAGTGTTCGCGATATTGAACCAGACAGTAAAGTGTGTCCAGTCAGTATGTATTGCTGTGGTTCGTTGATCTAACGGCTGTTAAAGGCACTCATCACGTCCATCCTTGTGTGCAGTACCAGCTCAAGGTCATTCCAGGCCTCAGCAAAGCTTTCAAACAGTATTATGGTAGACATTTGGAAGAAGACAAAAACTATGTTCGATGCAATTCCCTGTTTTGACCATAGATATGTTCCCCTTTTTCCTCAGGGGAAAACTTTTTTTTGTCGTTTTTCATTTATGATTCTGGAAAAAGTTGTTTTTACCATTGTCACGAAATGGGAGTGAGTTCTGTACCATTTCGTTGATTTTCAGGTGTGTCAAGGATACTCAAATCATCAGATTTCTTAGGAATGTGGAAAGAATTTTGTTGCTTTTCTTTATTATTTGTAATTTAAATGTATCCTAGGTGCATTCCTGGCATTAATCCTATCAGGTGTGTATTCTGAGTTACAATAGGTCCCCTATTATCTATTTGTGTCGTATGAAGGTGTGGCAAGGTGTGGACAGGTAACTTGCTTCATAGCGAGACATTGTGCCTCAAATATTGAGTGCTTCGTTGCATTAGAAGCAAAAAAACTCCTTTCCTTTTGGCTTGAACACCGTGGGATTAATGAGGGTCCTTGAATGTATCGGGTACCTTGGCTCGGTGACTTGGTGAGCCAGGCGGTATGTGACATTGCTCATAATATCAATCAATCGTTTAGTCCAGGCCGTCGTGATATAGCATGAATATTGCTGAATGCGACATCAAAGAACTAACAAACAAAATCAATAATTATAGCTATTAATCACACACGAAAGACAAATATCAATATCTTATTTTGAGTGAGTTAGTGAGTTTGGTTTTACGCCGCTTTTAGCAATATTCCAGCAATATCAGGGCGGGGGACACCAGAAATGGGCTTCACATATTGTACCCATGTCGGGAATCGAACCCGGGTCTTCGGCTTGACGAGCGAATGCTTTAACCACTTGGCTACCCGACCGCCCCTATCTTATTTTAAACCCCACTGGACAGATCACATGCTGTTTACTGATTTGGCAAGCCAATTGAAAGAACAAATTGAAAAAAATCAAGAGAAAAACCAGACATCATAAGATAATAACCACACACGTTTGTGTTTACATTCTGATAATTCACACACTGATTCATTCCCAAAGGTTTCAACATATCCAAATCCAAATTATGATGTTTCAAAACATAAAAAAACATAATTCGAAAGTTTGATCATCTCATTATTTATACACCGTAAACACTATCCAGTTTGAACAATCAAATACAAACTACATCCAAGTTTTATCTTGGACATGAAGCCAATCGACTTGCGGACAAATATGCCATCACTCAACAGCTAGTGTACAAGACCAGCTTAGAATGCACGTTTATTCAAATTTCTTTCCAAGATTGGAAAGTTACCTTTTCTTTCAGTTATCATTCCATTGAAGGGGCAATCCCTTCGATTTGATGGTTTACCGAGTTTGCATCTTATACATGGGTCGGTCGAAATACAAATAATTGGTGGCTTTTTGTTGTAGTTGGCTTGAAGCTGTTTGGATTGGTGGGTTAAGTGGTGAAAACGAACGCTACATCAACTTCTAGTGCAGTATGTTTACTTGGTATTATACTGTAGTGTGTATCTACAGAGATATCTACTTCTCTTTATAAGAGGACTGTTGTCACAAGAGACTACGGACAATGCACAGGAAAAGTTTTTACTGCTGTTTTAATTTTGCACAGTTGGGCATAAAAAACAACAAAATTTAGGTATTTACATTTTATTTTGTGATCGTAGAATTTAGCTCCAGTTGGTCGAAGCGTGAATTTAGGAAAAAATATAATGTAGCTTCAAAGCATTGTTTCATTCTACACGGCATGCTTGTTGGTTGAAGCTGAGAGAAGCGCGACCATCTTGTCCGAGAGTGCAGGTCAGAGGGGAGGATGCTCCATCCACATTGAACCAGAAGGCAACGGATTCTGCCGCTGCCCCTTTGAGGCTTATGAGGATGTCGTCACCGATGCTGATGTCAGTCACTCTCTGCGGGGACATCGGGACCCACTTGGCCAACTCGCCCTGAACAAGCACCTGCTTCCTGTAATGATAAACCCACATCAGATATTTGGGTCGTGAATGTAACTGACAAATATGTAACTCGATCATGTTCTTATAATTGTGATTAGTCACAGCTTTTAAATTTATGAAAGAAAGAAAGAAAGAAAGCTGAAGAAGATTTCAATAAATATTCATAATGGCTTCTAGTTCTTGACATAAAATATTTCACGAGTTGAAACTTTTGTAATGATAGAAAACAATCCATGAATCGTCTCTCAATGACTTTGCATTTTGCTAATATAATTAATTTTGCTGATGATTGTTTTCTTTGCTCGTCACCCTGTAGGACCTTGTGCAGGTATAATTGTTGACATACTCTCAGCGTCACAATATTCTGTACAACACGTCCAGTTATGATGTGGGAAAGGTATAAACAAGTAGCAGGGACACAGGTGGCCCAGTCGTCTGAGGCGCCGCGATTTGCTTTGCAGAGTTGCGTCCCTTAGGCACGCCAGAAACCTGGCTCGAATCCTGGTTCGCCCCGATTATGTTTTTAGGTTCGTCAGTACCATACCCGTGCTCGTTGGTTTCGCCAAAAGAGGTAAACGTTGAAGACCTGCATCGGGCCTTCCTCCCACATTAAGCTGACACGCCGCAATATAGCTGGAATACTGTTAAAAGCGTCGTTACACCCAACTCACTCACTCACTCACTCACCCATTAAAAGGTAGCTGTATCAAGTGTCAGGATTAGTTACCTGCCACAGAATTACATCCATGGTCATAGTCACGGAACTTGATCGAGGCTCTTTGTCCAAAATCAAATATGGCTTGAGACACACACTGAATCTAACAATAGCGTCTATTGGGTCGACAACATGCATTGGTAACATACTTCGCTCACTTGTACAAAAGAAAGTAAACACCATAGTTTCATGGTGGCTGGCAGTCTGCAACCGAGTTCATGACGCCATGGTTCTGACTAATCTGTCTTGGGCCTGAGTTGATGCCCTTGTCTGAATGACAATGACAATCTGGTATATCACCGAGGCTGTCCGAGGTCACATGCTTCAAGACTGTCACAATGTTGTGTTTGGGAGCTTGATGTCGTCGGAAATGTTCTTGCCATAAAAAATCATTTAC